GTCCTTGCTTGGAAGCAGTTAAAATTGCTGTGGGAAGTGATGACAACCCACAATCACAGTCAATATTACTAATTCTTTGTTGTTTTAAACACCAAAATGTCCCTTTATTAGCACTACATTCTGTAATAGAATTGGACAGGTTTTCCAGAGGTTAATAAAATGCAGTACCTGCAAACAAATATCTTACCACCTTAAGCAATATGTAAGTTCAGCAAACTGTTTTACTTAAGAATATTTATTGTAAATATTCTAGGCTTTTGACAGCTTGGCTTCAAAATTGATCTGTAAGTTATTAGAAGTAGGTTAAAAACTGAATACATTAAACCTTGGGACAAGTAAACCCACCAACCCACCATTTTTCCTTTCTTCAGAAAGGGAATGAAAGAGTAAATTACTTACACAGCTCCAGCCCAAGTGACATGCTTTGTCACCACAACCTCTGCTGACTTCAGAAATGACACACACCTTGATGTGGGATGTAATTTTATTCTGTGTAATGAACTTCTAATGGCTTTGCTTTAGACACATTTATGTAGTGGTGGCGGAATTTCCTTGTTTGCTGCAAATTAACTTTTGCTGCTTTTCACTTCAATTAAGACCACCCCCTGGAAACTGATTGCCACCTTTGTATAAACTTGAGTACAATTTCCTTTACAATCAGTTTTTCTAAGCAAATAGTATATGCCAGTTAGTGCAGTAATATGCACCCAGCGTAACAAAGTGGTGCCTATCCAGTATGGAGAACAGAGCATGTAACATTCTTACACACTCAATGTGAATCCCCAATAAATTCTTAAAGGGGGCTGACTCCAGTTAATTTCATTTCATATTCACTAGCCAGCAAAATCGGGTATGAATAAGCTATAGTACCTTATGAAAAGTTTCTACAGAACTAGACAAATCTCATTATCTGACTAGTCATCCTTATTGATCACAGGTAGCAGTAAGATGAAAGTTGTGAACTTTTAAAAATTAGTAATAATTTATTTTTTTTTAAAATGTTGAAGCAAGACAAGTAAATGAGTTTGGAAAGCCTTCAAAATGTGTATCTTCATTATAAGGGTGCTGCTTTTGCTAACTGAAGATGTAGCATGTTTAGCAGTTCCAAAACCACCATGAACTGCAATTTAGGATCATCACAAGAGTTTGGAACTAAATATAAATTTTTAAAAAGTAAAACATACTAAGAATTATTGAATGGTATTGACTGTAAACCTTAATGCAGATCACATGTCTGTGTGACATTGTTTATTAACACAGACCTCATATCTGTGTTAATAGGAGCTATAGAAGACATTCTGTAATTTCTGCACCACCAGAGAAATGAGCTCAACTGTTACAATTTGCAGTTACAAGCTCTGACTCCTTTTAGTACTCTGGCCATCACTCCTGGTGCCCTGGGAGATGTCTGAATGGTCATTTGGACCAACAAGAAAACAAAGAGGATATTCATAAGTGGCTTTGCTAAGGAGTACACACTTTACCGTGGTCCCTTTTCAAACAAGAATTGTGGTTCAAACTGTGGAAAGCAGACTTCACAAGAGGAGGGATGAAATCTTGGTGCTCCAACATCCTTTCCTTCAGGGGAGGATTTGCTTACATAATGCAATTTGCAGAGCAACTGCAACAGCCCTTCCTCACTGAGATGCTGGAGCATTTCAGGAGCCAGGCTTCCCTTCTGCAAATCCTCTGAGGCTTTCTCGTAACCACTGAACCTCTTCTCGGTTTAGGCATGGCCAGCAGAATGCCTCCTGCCAATCTGCCAGTGATGCCACAAGCACAGGCCTACCTGACAAGCAGTCTGCTTCAACAGCTTTGCTTCACAAGGACGCCCAGGGTGGCACGGAGTGTTGCAGCATCTAGAGGCACCCACCTCACCGTGTGCTCTCCTGGGCCACCACAATGAAGCAGGTTATCAGGAAATGGTCTGGCCCTTGGACTTCTTAACGCATCACAGCGGCAGGGTGCCTAACAGGAGGAAGGAGGCTTGAGGGAGCACCTCTGTGCCATCAGCTGCTGGCAGGCCTGGCCACGGCAGCAGTAATGTAACTAATATGGATTCAAACTTACAAAGTTTAAAAAAAAAAAAAATTACAGCTAGAGCTTTAACATACCTAAATTATATAAGCTGAAGTATGATAGATAAGCTCATGTTTACCGTACTTAAGGATAAGTGTGCTAGGAGCACACTTCAGGTTATCTAACCCAAAAGCCTATGTAGAATTAAGTTATTCTAGAATTTTTTTTTTATGAGACCAACACCTTGGACTATCTGATAGGGTTAAATTACAGTGTGGACAAAATTACCTTCAGAAGCAAAAAATAAAAACCAAACTACTAAAAAAATGCAATGAGGGTTATAACATGGATTATTAACACTTCAGGTAGGCCAGAGGCCTAAAAAATCGTCATTCATGGATACACCAAAATTAATTTTTTGAAGATGGAAGCAGCAGAATTTGTCCTCTTAGTTTCTTTTGGCACATACCTTCAAAGACATTTAACTCTCAGAGACATCAAAAATTTGTATTCAAGTCACAGTCATTGCCTCTTCTGAAGGATAACCTGATAAAATTTGTAAACCTCAGGAGTTTAATTGTGCTGTAGAAAAAAAAAAAGAAATCCTAACTTATTTTTTTGCCTTGAAAAACAAACCTCAAAGGGCAATAGTATCAAAGATCCTTCCTAATGAGAATTTGAGAAACTATTTTACAGCTTTGGTGTCAGGCACTTTGTTGTATTTGGTTTCTTTGCTTCCTCAAGAGGCTAAGGTAAAAAATTTCAGTGATGATGACAAAAAGGGCTGAAGCTGGATCTTTGATACTATTGCTCTTTGAGGTAATCCCAATCCACAACTTTCCAGTGAAAATTTAATGCTATTTATAAAGATACAAGTTTTCTCTACTGTTTTAAGCTGAAATTTCTCTACTTCCCCAGTACTAGACTGCTGCTGAGGCACAGGCCATGGAATCACAGAGTGGTTTGGATTGCAAGGGACATTTAAAGTTCATCTAGTCCAACTCCCCTGCAGTAAGCAGGGACATCTTCTACTAGGTGAGGTTGCTCAGAGCCCCATCCAGCCTGACCTTGAAGATGGACACTTGTTTTGCATTGTGCTGACGGTGGTTGTCATACAAGCCATTAATGTGATAATTGTTTTCGTTTATAGTCCAAGCCTTGAAGCAAAATCTTCCAAGACAAAAAGCTAAACATCTAGTGGCAAATATAACTTGTTCTCTAATGCATGCGAAAATGAATACATACACTTACGCAGAGAAGTTACTCAGAAAGTTAAATAACGTTATTGTGCCATTATTAGCCAAAAGTGTGTCCATCATTCCTGACAAGAGTCTGTGCCAACGCTAGTTAGCATGCACTAAAATAAATTGTGGTTAACACTCTCCACCCCACGAGGTAATGGGGACTTGAATATCTTGGAGAACGATGCAGGCAGGCAGGTCTGGCTCAGCAGGGCACAGCTGTGCTGAGAAGTCTGACCTGACTGTAAGATGCTGTGCAGTGAGCTTGGAGGCTTGGTCATGCAGCTGAAATGCAGAGAGCAGACTTTTGGCCACGGCAGGATTACAGCAGGTAGGATCTCATTCCTTCTGAAACATCAGGGGCATCGCTTGGCACTGCACAAGTGATTTTCCTGAATGGTGACAGAAGAGAATTGCTTCCTGACAGGAGGTTTTTCTGCATGTCACGCAGTCATGCCATGCAAGGCCAAAGCCAACAAGGCTGACCAGATCTGTGCTAGTTTTACAGAGCCAAAACCTGAGTGTCTCTGCAGATTAACTGTGCAACAAAAACACAATTTCAGTCAAATGCTGTCTGTTTCTTGTAACCACAATTCCAGGCATGGGACTATTAGCACACTGAGTCCCTTCCCTTGCAAGTACCAAACATAACCAGCCCAAACTATTAATTGTGAGAATTGATGTTCATGGAAGACTGAGGAAGTGACATGCAGAAGACATACAAGTTGTACAAATTCTTCTAACAAGCCTCCCTAAGCCAAGGTAAAAAGCAGGAAGCAGTGAGTTATCAGACAATTCTGCACACACATGCTAGCAGCTGGGTACAGGGGAGGTTCTGCATTCAGGTGTGCCAGAGGCCCAGCAGCCTCTGCCACTGAAACTCAAGGGGCGGGCAGGAGCGGTCAGGCTTCCTCTGCAAACAGAAGGAAGGCTTCAAAAACAACTACTCTCCAAATGGTCCATGAAGAAACAGGCTCAGATTTTTAAAAGCTTCTAGCTATCTGAAAAGGTTATCAAAAGCAAGCAGGTGTCTTTAAATACCTAATCCCCTTCTTGGAAAAAAAAAAAAAAAGTCTTGATAGCCTGAAAGATCAGAGCTTAGAAAGAAATCTCTTACGAGAGAAGGCTCCTTTAAAAGCCTTTTCTCACCCTCCTCCCACCCACAAGGTACAAAAACCAAAGGCACATAGAAAGGAGCAGGTTTACCTTGTGATTCCTGCAGCTCTTGAGGTGACTAATAAATACTTAAAACTCTAAGTAAGCCTCACATTTGCAAATAATTCTTTCAATGCATAGAATCAGTCGTTTTGGTTGGAAGAGACCTTTAAGATCGAGTCCAACCATTAACCTTAACTCTATCAAGTCTACTGCTAAACCGTGTCCCTAAGCAACTCATCTACACGCCTTTTAAATCCCCTCCAGGGATGGTGAACCAAATTTTTTCTGTTGTTTTTGTGAACCAAAAAGCCAGTAACAGCACCAAAAAAACGGCACTATCTAGGACAGCTTATACCATGTTAGCAATCACGGAAGTGTTACTTTGTGATAAAAGCCTAAGCACATTATTAAAAAACAGCATAAAATATTACCAAAGTTAGTTGAATAGCAGTGACAGAAATTTATTTTTTAACATGTTATTTTCAGCTTTCAGTAGCCTCTTCCACACAACTTGGAAGGCTAGACTTCTTTCATAATTTTTTGAAAGGAAAGCTGAACATACAAAAGCTTGTTCCTGCTTATTTAGAAGCCTTGTAAAAATTCTTGGAGTTGTGCAACTATTTCTGTATCCACAGTTTCCATGAGTGCCTGAAAACCTTGTTCTCCCAGTAACTCCTGCTGGGCCTTTAGCTTCTCATAGACGAACTGCTGCAATGACACAGTGTGAACCGGGTCCTTCAGTGCAAGCTGTGGGAAAAACACAAGAGAGAAATATATAATAATCCACTAAAAAGTACCCTGTGACTTACTCATGTCTTCTATAACCTCAGCTCAAAGAAGAAATCATCTGCTGTTCTGTGTATTTAGTTGAGAAACAAGAGGCAAAACTGTAAAGCAAAGATGAAGTAATTATCAAAAGCAAATATGAATTTAAAACTATTGAAATAGTCTCAAATCATGGTCCCAGTGTGCTGTAAGATTTTATCCTTCTATCAGATAAAACAATTTCAAAGCTGCTTTATGAATTACTGCCAAATGAGTTCCCCACAACTCCTAAAAACACATCAGGTATTATCATAAGCACTTAAGAGATGGTATAAACTACAGTCAGTTGTATTTTATTAGTAGAGGAAACAAAATGAAAAAAATTAACTAGTTTAGATTATATGACAACAGCTAAAATAAAATGACCATATGCACAAAGAACAGACATGCTTCTTCAGCAGTAGTACCTATACAACGTCATCCATCCAGCTGGGTTACAAAATTTTCTTTTGAGCAGGGAGGGACAGCGTATTTGTCCCTATTTTCCACATTAACTGCTTCTTAATGAAAACAAGAATAGGTAAACAGAGAGGCTACATTGCCAGAGGACCTATTCTTAAATTTCAATACCTGAATACAGGTGAGGCAAGGCTAAGGACACAGACAGATATTCAGCATTTGTCCTTCAGTCCACCAGGCTGAATGAAAGAGGTTGGGAACTGGGGGCATATCTGCATCAGAAAGTACCATGTTGAAATAAACAGGCATTTACTGCAGCCCCATGATGTATTCCTCTTAGTATCCAAACCAAGGAAGGTCAGGAAACATAATACAATGCTAGATCTCAAAGCCCACTGAAACAGGAGACTTCTGAGCTCATAATACCCTGCAACACTGCTACTTCCAAAGAAATAAGACATATTAAACTTGCACAATTCCTATTTTGGCATGATAAAAAAAAATAAATATTTTAATATGAATACTTTAAATCTTAAGATTATTTACTTATTTATTGAACAATATACCTAGAATGGGGAAATACTGACTCAAACATATAAATGACTTGCCAACTTTCTATGTAGAGTTTCCATTAGGTAGGGAAGTAACTGAAACTTCTGCTGCTTCCTTACCAACATACATTCTACCTGGATAAATAAAAAATTGTACAGAACTGTGGTGGGTTGACTGTGGACAAGCAGCTGCCCACCAAAGCTGCTCGACCACTCCCTCTCTGCAGCTGGACAGGGGAGAGAAAATATAACAAAAGGCTCATGGGTCAGGATAAGGACAGGAAGAGAACTCACCACTTCCCATCACGGGCAAAACAGACTTGACATGGGGAAAATAGTTGAATTTATTACCCATCAAATCTGAGTACTTGAATTTATTACCAATAAAATCAGATAATGAGAAATAAAACCTAATCCTAAAAACACCTTCTCCCCACCCACCCCTTCCTTCTTGCTGGGCTTAACTTTACTTCCGAATTCTCTATCTCCTACCCCACAGTGGCACAGGGGGAATGCTTGATGGTGGTTATGGTCAGTTCACCACATGGCGTCTCTGCTGCTCCCTCTTCCTCAGGAGGAAGGACTCCTTACACTCTTCCCCCTACTCCAGCATGGGGTCCCACCCACAGCAGAAAGTCCTCCATGAACTACCCTCAGGCTATACTTTCTCATGAACTACTCCAGCTTGGGTTCTTTACACAGGGTGTAGTCCTTCAGGAACAGACTCCTCCAGCACAAATCCCCAGTGGGGTCACAAGTCCTGCCAGAAAATCTGCTCCAGAGTGGGATCTTCTCCTTCTGTGGGTCCAAAGGTCCTGCTAGGAGCCTGCCCCAGCACAGACTTCACATGGGGGTCAGAGCCTCCTCCAGGGATCCACCTACTCCTGCATGGGGTCCTCCACAGGCTGCAATTTAATATCTGCTCCACCATTAACCTCCATGGGGTGCCAGAGAATCTCTGCTCTGGTGCCTGGAGCACCTCCTCCCCTCCTTCTAAACTGACCTTGGTGTCTACAGAGTCGTTTCTTTCACATTATCATTCCTCTCTATCAGCTGCTATTGTTCCACGCAGGTTTTCTTTTTCCCCCCCTTCTTAAATATGTTACCACAGAGGCACTACCATCATCAACGATGGGCTTAGCCTTGGCCAGTGGCAGGTCCATTTTGGAGCCAGCTGGAAGTGGCTCTGTTGGACACACGGGAAGCTTCTGGCAGCTTCTCACAGAAGTTGCGCCTTTATCCCCCTGCTACCAAACCCAAAACAGCTACAGACAGGAAACAGAAGTTCTGCAAGGAAATACACTTTATGCTGCTCAGGGGAAAGCTGATTTGACTAACTTTTGAATTTATTTCCTTTACTAATTGATCTTTAAACTGGACATGGGTGCCTACCTTGGGGCTGGACTGAAGAAACCAATCTTCCACCTCACTGATTGTAAACACTAGTTTGAATCAGCAAGGCAGTACAAAGGTTTTACAAAACAACCATTCTCCATCCCTCCCAACTCCGCTTGCCAGCGTCAGCTGCACTCTAGAGAATTACCTACTGTTTGAAATGGCCTTTGTTAGCTGGATCTCCTTCCTCAGCATCTTTACACAACACTACAGCCAAAAATCACTGTTTTTAATAAATAATTATATATTATTCTGTATAAAAACATTACTACAAAAAATTACTACAAGCAATAACACAAACTAATTGGAATGGCACTAGAATATAAGAACAAATAATACAAGTCCAGTACAAGTCTAACAAGCGTGTCGGTGATACCTCAATTAAATTGTTGAAAAGACTTCCAGAACTTGAAGAAATATCTTCAGTTTAAATGTGGATACTTTGTTACTAAATAGGGAGCAAGAATTCTTGGAGGACATAAAATCATACATATTTACCATTATGATTGGTATCTTATGACTGTGATACTCTAAGACTGAAAAAAATAATTTAAGCAGGAATATAGCTTTTAGTTTTAACAGTGATTTAACATTTTGAAGTGGATCCAGACAATATGAAAGGCTCCTAATATCAAAGCTTTTTTATGGATTTCAGTGGGGCTTGAATTAGATCCATGGCAAATCTGTAGATTAAATTTGTAAATTATACCTCTAACAACAAAGTTTAAATACTACTTTTAGTAAACCACTTTACAACATAAAGGCTTATTGTACTCTAATTAATTTACCTATTTTCCTGAAGATACAAAAATCACAATTAAACTAGTTTCTTCCCATACTAGGGTAAAATAAAAAACCTAAGACTTACATATTTACATTCAAGCATCATCTAAAACATGTACCAGCACGGATAATTCAAGTTTAAATAAGACAGATATTTGCTGGGAAAACCCTTACTTCATTTTTCCTCTCCATAGTTTCAAATAGAGTTGAAAAAGTTTAATGGCCTTTTGAACAATGATACCAGAGTTCTTAAAAATGTGTATTGAGGGCACACAAAAATAAGGCACCTGCAGTGTGTACATTACGTGCAATTCAAGGTCATGAATCACTCTCTGCCTTTTTACATTTTCCTCAATATATTTGTAGTAAGACTAAAATATAGCAGTATAAATTTATAAAGCCCTGTTCTAGCTAGAACTCTCTTAAGTAATTATGAGCTGTACATAATAACAAAGAAAAGTACCAATAACAGGATAAAGGGATATATCAAAGAAAAATATCTAGACCCAGTGCAAATATTGGGAAGCGATACTTAGCACGGACAATGCTTAGTGGACCATGCTAGTTTATCTTTTTCCTCACATGAATGGCCTTAACATTTGCAAAACATTATTATTTTGAAAGAGAGAATCCTATTTATCTTCTCTTTATTGTTCTCTGAGGTTTAAGCTCTAAGCCCTGATACAAGCTGCTGATTCAGCAATGGAATACATAAGAGGGTAGAAATCTCTTGCAGGAGTGAAGTAGGACAGGAGACTAAAATGTTCTTAAATCAATTGCAGACTCCCTTCAGGTTACTCTTGATTTTCCTCTTCTCACTTCAATTATTTGTCCCTACTTTTATTTCACCAGAGATTGTTAGTGCAGTTGTTCTAAATGTCACATGAATTGAGTGTGTGTGCTGATGCTTCTACAGACAGGAAGAAAGTTCTGGTGCAGCTGGCTAGGAATGGGCCCAGGCATTTTTTTTCCCTCAATCCAGCTTATCAAATCAAATGCTAGCTATGCTTTCAAAGCCATGAGTAACAATCCTGATTGTCTGACACTTCTATTACTAGTGATCCACCGAAATGACCTGTATCATTTTGAAATAAACAGCCATAAGAAGTGGCAAGCTTCAGTTTTTGCACCATCCACAGAAATTTATACTGGGCAATTTCAGTTTGGATTCAGAATGAATTTATATGAGACATTTATAACAGCTAGAGATTGCTTGCTTTAACAGATGTGAGAAATGGCTTAGAAAGAAACAAGAACACAGTGAATACTAAAGTTAGCTGAAAAAATGATAGCATAGAAGGCTCAAATCTGAAATACATCAGGAATGATCAGCTAAATCTGGGAATGAGAAGAGTGAAACAGACAGCTATACTTACAAAAGAGGATTGAAAGAAGAATAACAAAGGATTTTCATAATGCTCAGGAATCTAGAAAACAGTAACCATGGAAATAGGTATGTCTAGATTATAAGATCAGAGACAAAAAGGAAGCGTCAATGTTCACGTATGGCAATTTATTCTGTGTAAACCTTGCAAGGAACCAAAGGCTGAAAAGGTATTTAAGCACAATGTTAATGAAGAGCTGCAGAACAAATTATCAGTTCCTCAGATGAAAAAAAGGAAAGCAACACGCAAAGGAAGACAAGTTTCCCGTGTAAATCAAAACCTGCATTCTCATGTTCCTATCAGTCATGGCTGCTCCTTACCAAAGCACACAGATATTTCTCTTTATTCAGCAGCCACTGACTCTGTACTGCACGTGACCTCAGAACAGTTCCCTCCTCATGACTACGTCCACCAACAGTGTATTGGAGCACTGTATCACTGAGGAGGGAAGAATGACACAGGTCAAAAACTAACATATTCTAATTTTCATTTTGCCTGATGTATCTGCATTGAAGGTAGTCCCTACAAAGTCTAAATTCCTGAATACATACCAAAACTATTAATATCCACCTGAAACTGAAAAACTAAAATAATTTCTGCAAAAAAGTTATTAAAATCTTAGCCATCCAGAAAGAAACAAAACTTGAGTATATTCAGAGAAAACTAAGAACATTAAAGGACTGTAGATTTAAATTCACTTTGTTTTTTTCAAATCTGATTAACAAACCAAATTTATCTCTTTCCTTACAGATACATAGCTATAAACATATCTTTATTGATAGGGATCAGTATATTTATATATCAACATCATAATATGTCAAGACATTATCCAAACCCGCTAAGAATAAACATTATCATTCTGTAACAAACATCTGGAATTTCATTTAAGTTTGCAAGCTAGAAGAAAATTTAACCAAATTTTACAGTCTAAAAAAAGCTTTTAAGATGCTTTTAAAAGTTAACTGAATTACAGAACTACCCAATAAAGTTTTAAGGACCACAGAATACAGTATTTCTGTGTTTTGTTTAAATTGGAAATTGCAAGACACTAGGAATTTTTCTTAAGGCAATACTAACAGCAGAAGACTACACAATAGTTTGTGTTATTTTCTTTTTTTTTTTTTTAAAAAAAAAGAACCATATATTTATTAGTATTAAAAGAAAAGCTTACCAAGAAATCATAAGCATCCAATGGCTTAAAAAAGATTCTCAACTAAAACAAACTATTAAAAGCCATCCAAACTCTTTTCTGCTCCTACAAGAAGAAATGAAGTACCAAAGGACTGTCCACAAATACTACTGTGGATAAAAGCAGGTCAGTTACAGTGAATGTGTGACGGGGTTACACACATCAATTCAATGTTTTGCAATTATTGACTGCCACACCGTTCAGACTGTTATTTCACAGCATCTGCACACTGTTTTCTGCATGACGAACTCTTGTAAAGTAAGTTAAATTATTAAACATTATTAAACAAATTAGGTTGGACACAACCAGTAGAAATGCATGGTACCTAATCCAGATATCTTCATTAGTATTAATCCTCCTTATTAGGGGTTCTTTCCATCAGAAAAAGGTTCTATGCAATGATCAACAGCTGCTCAGAGAGAACACAATCTGATAAAATAAAGACTGTTTTAAATATCATAAATTTGACCTGCCATGACATTTTGGTAAGTTTCAGCTCCCTGTGTTTTTCCATAAACCCTTTTAATAGTGTCTTAGTACTATAAAGTGATTTGTGAATAATAATGTAATGATTTTGTGAACAATGTTTATTTTTGCATCATTTTCCATGGCTCAAAGGAAAGCAGAAGCCTAAGTGTTGTGGCTGCAAACTTTGACATCAAAGCATTTCCCTTCTTTGACTGAAGAGGTGAATCCTCCAAGAATAATGGATGAACCAAATTCAAAGGCAAAGAATTTAGTCTAACACAAGTGAATCACAACCAATTCTGTAACTGGATACCAGTTCTAAAACTTACCATTTTTATTCTTTTATCTTGTTCTGTGGGAGGTTCCTCATCTTCTGCAGCTTTAGGCTCTTCAAAATAGCCCACCAACATGCAACTAAGAATGGAAAGAAGAACAATTTTAACATAGGTTATCATTAAATTTATTCTAAAGCGCTTTCAAGAACACAGGACAGATATGAGGGAGTTTGATGCAAGTCAGGCAACTTGTTAGCAATTGATTTTTTTCCAAGAACAATGAACCTAAAGAAGCCTGAATGCATGTTCTGTGTCACCTACACCTACGTAACATTCTCAGCTGTCTTCCATGTTTTAGCTCAAATTGTGACTTTAAAATACATTTTGTGGAATCATAGAATGGTTTGAGTTGGAAGGGACCTTAAAGATCATCTAGTTCCAAATCCTTTGCCATGGGCAGGAAACCTTCCACTAGACGAGGTTGCTCAAAGCCCTATCCAATCTTGTCTTGAACACATTCAGTATTGGGGCATTCACAGCCTCTCTGGGCAACCGGTTCCAGTGACTCACCAACCTCATAGTGAAAAACTTTATCCTAATTTCTACTCTTACTCTCCCAGTTTGAACACATTACCTTTTGTCCTATCACTACAAGCTCTTGTACCAATCCCTGAGGAACACCACCAGTCACTGGTCTCCACTTCCGACAGTGAGCTGTTGACCACAATTCTTTGAGTGTGACCATCCAGCCAATTCCTTATCCACCAAGTAGTCTATTCATCAAATCCATCCCTTTCCAATTCAGACACCAGGATGTCACATGGGACAGTGTCAAATGTTTTATGGAAGTCCAGGTAAAGTCAGTTCCTGTCCCTTCAACCACCTATGCTGTACCCTCCATTGTAAAAGGCCACCCATTCTATCAGGCATGATTTGCCCTTGGGGAAGCCATGTTGGTTGCCAACAACTGCTGCCTCATTTTCCACGTTACTTAGCAGAGTCTTCAGGAGGATGTGCCCCATGATCTTGCAAGGCACAGAGGTGAGACTGACCAGCCTGCAGTTGCCTGGGTCTTCCTTTTTTTTCCCCTTTTTGGAAATGGGGGTCATGTTTCCCCTTTTCAATTAGTGGGAACTTCAGACTGCCATGATTTTTCAGATAGGATGGAAAGTAGCTTAGCAACTTCATGCTCCAATTCCCTCAAGACCTGCAGATGGATCTTGTCAAGTCCTATGGACTTGTACACCTTCAGGTTCTTTCGATGGTCTCAAACCTAGCTTTGGGTGGATCCTCTTTCTCCCAGTCCCTGCCTTTGCCTTTTACAACTTGGGCAGTGTGGTTGGAGCTTTTGCTGGTGAGATTTAATTCTATCTATCCCCAGAGATTCAACTCTATCTGGGCTTTAGCTTTCCTAAACGATCCATGGCTGCTCAGAAAGCTTCTCTGTAATCCTCCCAGGACACATGGCCCTGCTTCCACTCTCTGTAGACTCTCCTTTTGTGTTTGTTTCCAAGAGCTCCTTGTTCATCCAGTCAGGCCTCCTGGCATTCTTGCCTGCCTTCCTCTTCATTGCGATGCATTGCTCCTGGGCTTGGAGGAGGAGGTCCTTGAATACTGAACAACTTTCTTGGGCCACTCTCCCCTTCAGGGCTTTACCCCATGGTACTCTAACAAGCAGATCCCTGAAGAAAGATCTCTGCTCTCCTCAAGTCCAGGGTGGTGAGCTTACTGCAATTCCTCCTTGTTGCCTATTTCAGCATATAGAAAACAGACTATGTGGGCTTAAAAAAAACTTAAGATAGAAAACCCAATGTTCGTAACTAGAATTTCCCAGACTTTCCAAGGAAGTGCTTTGTATCCTATCAACACAAAAATCAAAGTGGTACATATGCAAAACGAGCAAAGATTTCTCATTGCATTCATGTTTTCCTGTGTGACCTTCAACAAGAGGACCTGCAAACTAATACGGTCACTACTATTGTTTCTCAACAGTAATATCTGTAAGACACTGGACAATGATGTTTTAGGTGGACAGAAGTGAGTTGGCTCCTAGTGTCATTTATTTAAAGAGCTGTTTTTTCTCTGCAGATAAAACAAAACTTAAGCTTCTCATTTTTTTGTTTTGTACCACTTCAACTGATAGGTAACAACAGACGTAACAGGCAGTCACATTTTAACTATTATTTTTGTGGTAAGAATAAACCCAGAAAATATGAAAAAAAAGAGCTAGTTTCTGTCTCTTGAAACAGTCTGAAGGGACTTTATAAAGACATTTGTGCAAGCTTTCCTATAATAAACATGCTTTCCTTCCACTTCACATTCTCTCTATTGAATGAATACACAAATATACCGGAACTTTTTTTCTAAAAAATACGGTTTAATAACCAAAAGGATTTAAAAAGCACTCAAGTGAAGACTTGCCCCCATGTATTAGGTATGTTTCATGGCAGGAAGAACACATAATCCACATATCCCAAAGCATCAAGACAGATGCACATTATTGCTCATTTTCAGCCCTGTACTACTGTGCATTTTTAATTGCTCCATTCCACCAGCAGGTGAAAAGTTTCTGCACATAAGTTGAATAACTTGTTTTAAAGTTACTAAAATGGAAAAAGTTGTTTAGCTTCAGAAAGCTGTTAGCTTCAGGAATTGCAGTTAATTAGAAGAGCTTTAGCTGAAAATAAAACCACTGAACAGAACCAGCTCTGTTCTAGCCCAAACCAGGACACAGATAATGTCAACACGTGTAACACAAGTACCAGAGAATCTTTCAAACCATCCATTCAGTATCTGTCAACAAAAGCATGTCCCTGGTTCAGTGTGCCTGTATGTTATAAGGCAAGACAATGTCTAGGTTTGGAAAAGTACACCGAAAAGTTCTACAACCCTTTAAGCTTAAAAGATGAAATGAACCAGGACAATTTTGATTTATTTCTCTCTGAGAACTCTTTTCAAGAACTGCTGGCAAAGCAACACCTTTAGTAATAGAAGGGACTCTGTAGCAATGTCTCCAATAGTACATAGGTCAACAGTCCAATGCTAAAGCAATTTCCACACTTTGGAATTACATATTCTATACTAAGAGTTAGGCGAAAAAAAAAAACAAACACAAATTACTCTGCAAGCAGTTCTTTGGTATAGTTCAGGCTCAGGATGAGCATGCACAGCACACGCTTGTGTGCATACCACCTGTTTTAAGAGGAGAAAAACTTTAACAGTGTGCATGCAGGCTCTTCCATGCCAGCTAGCTTCAGTGCCAGCAAACATCCCCTCAGGCAATTAATTAGTCCAGATACAGCCTGTTCCACCACCAGGTAATTATCTGAAGGCTAGAAAATGTTTGATTCTTAGTAAAATATGTTATTAGAATATAGTGTCTGTAAGGATGTCTGTCGAGCACCTGCTTTTAATATCTTATGATTCTCCATCATTCTAAAACTAGGTAATCATTACAGAGAAAAATCCCAACATCAAGATCTCAGTCCAAAATTGTTATTAGTCAGCGTTTTTTAACTTTTCCAGCTTTGATGGAATACCACCAGTACCCTGAGAGTCAGCAGCAGATGAATGAGTGTGGTGCTGGGTGGCAGTGCACCCCGAGCAACCTTGAAACTACTTTCCTGCCAACACAAACTCTTGCTCCTGGCTCTAGAAACTGTCTTGAGCTACACCTTGTAGCAGCAGGTGTGTCAAGTGAAAAAACAGAACAGGGAAAACTGTCCTTCTAGGAGAGGTTTTCAAGTTCTCCAGGTCATAAAATATTGTATGCTAGGCCCACTCAATGAGGCTGAAGCATTTAGGAAAAGATCTTGGTTAAAACCCAGATGTCACACTCAAAGAAATCCTATCGACATAAAAGCTTGTGGGACTGCAATTTTAGATAAAATAGTCAAGTGAATTAACAGCAAAAGCATATGAACATTTAACGACATTATTTAGTATATAACTTACTGAACATCACAAAATTTTACTGACTGCCATTTTAAGTCCTCCCTCCCCTCAATACATTTATTTTTTTTAAGACCAAAGATTTCCTTATTGAAATACTAACTCTTTAGAAAACAGAACCCTTACAAGTATGTCTTAACAGTGTAGTAGATCTTCCCAATCAAAACACTGCCTATAAAACAGTACTGCTACTGTTAAAACCACTAAAACTATTTAGATTTTTCCACTTACTCTTTGCATCTTCCTGTTTCATTATCTTCAGTCATAACATCATGGAGCACTTCCACCGCAATGTTAATGATACCACAAAATTTATCCTGGATAGTACTGGAAAAGAATAAAATTTATCTTAGGCAACACTGTAAAAGAACAGGAAAGTGACTTAGCTAAAGGAACTAAACAGGAAATGTGCTCAGTAGCTGTAGAGTACATTTACTGAGCAGTATTTTCATGGCTCATTGCTTTGCTAAGCATGCTCTCAAGCAGCTAATTCAGTAGTTTTTCTTAAATTACATAGAGGCTTCAAAAATATGCAAGAAACATTATTTGTAAATAGAATAAAGCTTCACATACCACTTCAAAAACCTAGAAATAAGTGCAAATGTAATAAAAGAAAAAAGACATTAGCACAGGACTCAGGAACTGAGTGGGGATGTCATTTACACATTTTCTTCTAGTACTATTCAATGCTGAATCTACACACAAACCCTCAAGCAAAGGGCAGCTTGTAAAGATGGCACACTCCTTTGCTGTATTCTCTGTCCAGCCTTATTTCTTCTTCCTCCTAGGCAGCTGAATGAGTCTCCATAGAGGGAGAAAAATATCTGTACCCAGTTCTGCATGAACAACTCTTCCCTGACTATAAAGAGAAAGGTAGGGTGAGATTCCTCTGCTTAAGCACAGGCACTCCTATCATTTGGAACGCTAGGCTGTTTAAAACAACTGCAAGGTGGTGGTAGCTGTCACTCAGCTCTAATAGAGATAAGCACCCTTCCCCAGAATGAGCTGAAAGGCTGAGTGGGTACCCACACAACATTCCAAATAACACTAAACAATTACGTTTAGACACCTTCCCCTGCCATGAATATTGATGTGCCTTGTAGGGCAGGGAAACAGAAATATGATCTTCCCATGATGAATGAAGTAGGAGCCACCAGCTCCTAGTTAACTGAAAGCATCTGTGGTTTCTGTTTCTGCTGAATTTCCTGCTACTGCAGGTCTACTGCCAGAGATGCTCTACTGGAGGACTTTGGTGCATGGAATCCTGCTCTGTGAACTACAGAAGAGGGAAGACATACTACAAGTAGCAAGATTCTCATCTTGGGAAGACTGCAAAGGTTCCAGCTACAAGCACCAAAGAAAGAGAAATGGCGTAACTGGTGATGGTGAACTACAACCCTCTTCCTGGACATGCCACCAACTGGAGCATTTTATTACTCCCTGTTCGGAATTTCAGGCTTCATTTTCCCCCAGAGATGATGTGCTGTCTACTAGGCAGAAGTAGACATTCCATTTTTGTTTAAAGGTACTGAATATTAAGTTCATATATTGTAGTTTGATCCTTTATATTTTAATGTAGACAAATATATTTCTTAATATTATTTCATTTCCTTTCATCTGGATAAAACCTGAATAACTGGATAAAACGTAGCTCCTCGTATATTAGTTACTGCATTTGAAAAATTCTTGTCAAACATACAACAATATTTTATGTATACAATAGACTATATAGGAATGGATGCTTTGGAAAAAATACATATCAAGCTAGAATACTAGAGCATATAAAAAATCTCTTTTAAATCTGTTTTGGTAAGATTATGATTTAACTCATGATAATTTCCAAAGGATTATTTTTGTTCCCTTTTTCATTCAGCTACTGTTGAGTGACAGGACCTTAACTGTATTTTGTACAATGAAACTTGAAACTCTTAAATTCCACAAAATTAAAACTGACTTAACTTCCATTCAGTTTGGCTTATTCTCTTTATTATTGTCAAACATGTGTTTTGAAAGAGGCTTTGTTCCTCACCAGAAAGCTTTCCCATCTCATTCAGAGCAGCAAAGCATTACCTGCTGTGAGACTTTTCATTAAAGCTATTTTGCCTTGTGTTTCAAAAAAAAAAAAAGGTACATCTCTATGAAAATGCCATTAATGTGGTTAATATTTTCCAACAGGAGAAAGGAAACAGCTGTCCTCAGGTTCACATTAATAGAGGACCGGGGCATACAGCCAAGAAACAAATGTGAACATTTTGCACCCTGGAGAAGCAAACTATGCCCTGTACGTATACACTCCTTAATTAATAATACAGGCTGCTATCCACTATCTGGTAGTTACATTCCTTCCTTCAAAGCTTCATGAAGAATGCCAGACTGCCACAGAAATTTTATATTGGGAGGGAAGAGAAAAATGTTTGACCCAAGGAAAGTAAAGCCTTTTCATCAGCTGGGGGGCCAAGTATGGTCAATCTATGCAAGCAGTTTAGTTAATCAACATGTAAATAAATACTGTAGACACAGTGCTCATTAGACTTTAGATATTTTTTCTAAGCTTACATATTGTTAGGAGGAGCATACAGGCTGGCCCATTTCAGCAACCTGTGTTTCCAAGGACCTTCTGGAAGAAATTCATGACAGTGGTTGAAGATCCACAACACTGTTAAATATTATACTTCCTTCCTTAGTGAAAGAGAAAAATAACTTTTTTTTTTTCAAGGAAAGCAAAGCTAGATAATGTAGAAGACCTTTAGAAATGAGGTGACTGTTGTCTGCAGCTTTCAGTAAAGACAATACCCTCCTCTTTTGTCCCCTTCTTTTTCCCTTTAAATGGAACATGAAATTTCTTCCTAGCAATGACTGACTGATATGTGTACCAATTATGGAACCATTAAACAATGAAACTATTTTTAGAATACAAGACACAAGCCAATGAAAAATAAAGACAGCATAGGCTTATTGTGCTTTGAAAAAAGAAGCCTCAGTTAAAGTTCAGTGGCAATATAAAATGCATCAGGTCTTATTTTCACAGACAAGGAAGTCACACCAACCAATGGAATACCTTTTTGAAGAGACTAAAATTAGCCTGCTTCCTTCTAGAAATACACTAGAATGTTGTATGAGTAGATTCAGAAAAGACAGGCACACTGTACTTAGAAGAACCTTCAAAACAGAAAGTTAATCCTGTCCATACTAAAATTTTACTCTGGAAGGGAGGTACCAGTTAAGCTCTTCTACCCTTCAACTGCATAAAGTTCACATCAGCAATGGAATAAACAACATCATCAAGTTATAACTGTTTTATAACTACCCAGCTTCCCTAAGCTACCAGGACAAAATCTCATCTGGCATGCAGCAAAAATTATCAGAAGATAATTAAAGGATAAATTCTATATACTTGCTAGGATCTAAACCACTCCAGAAAACAATTTCAAAGACACAGTTAAAACATTAACATTATTTTTTGCAACAGAATCTTTTATGCAGTCTGCAAATAAATTTCACCTTGCCTGTAATGAAAACAAAATGTAGCAAACATTTAGGGCAGCTTCTAAACGAATAATCTTAAACGTTTTACTTCAATGTTTGCATAATTTGTTAGATAAAAGATTAAAAGTTTTGCAACTGAAAAAACAGACATCTGTTCTGAAAAAAATATTTTTTATTCTATCATTTCTAATACACTCACCTGTCTAGTCAACAATTCTATTATGCTGAACTTTTATGCAAAAATTTGGAATTTGGATTTCAGTTACATATATAGCCACTGTAAATAAAGCTTTATTGTCAGCTTAATAAAACTTATATAATAATACATTTTGTGGGTACTTAAAATGATCCCCATGCATACTGTGCATCCTCCTCAGCCTACCAGAACAGAATGAAAAATTCTGCATACGAAAACATACTTTTTTAGAGGTTAAAAGGAAGACAAGAAAGTACATTTTGTCTTTCTGCATTCACCAGGATGAAGAAGTAAACATCAAAAAAAAAGAAAACTTAATTTCATATATTTACTAGTGTACATTAGATTTGAGAAAGATTAAGTAAATTTTTATTCTTATCTCATTAGTTGAGGAAGTAGGTGAAATAGAAAAAAACAGATTACTTTGTGCATACTCTGAGCAATGTGATTGTTGCACACACACCCCCCACCTCAGGAGCTGCACAGTGGTGAAACCATAACTTAGCAGCTAACGCATTTCCAGGGGAGCCCTATGGCTGACCATAAACTTGATGACCTTGAAGTGCATTTCGCTTCATGACAGCAGACCCACCTAAGTCTTCTAATGTACTTTCTAATTATTCTAACAGTCAGACATACGAACCTTGTGTGTACATGAAAGGATGTGTTTCCTAATGTGAACGTTTAAATATAAAACCTACTAACTGCAAAAGAAGGCAAAACCTGCATCATGAATCTTTCAATTCCTTGTTGGTCTAACCCAAATTGTGGGGAATCTGGACATGAGAGGATTACTCCACTGCAAATTATTGCTTCCAACTGCTCCAACTCTTTGCTTGCACAAAGAGCTCCAGCAGCAACGGCTTCCTTTCACGTTCCATCACTACATATGGTGAGGCTAGTAGTACCTGGCAAGCAACTCCTACAGCAGCTTGTCAGTGGGAAGGACACACCTTCACAGGAAGCCTCTCATGCTGTTCTGTAGAGAGCAGCTGTGGAAATCAAGAGCCTAAACCCACAGAGCTGTCCCCATCAGATGTCTTTGAGAACTAGGTTTGTTCAGTCTCAGTTTTTGCCTACTCCAAGAACTCCTCTAACAAATGCACAGCAACATTTCTAACGTGGTAGTTAACTAGATTCCACTGAATTTTAAGTCCATTACTTCTGAAGACAGACATGTAAAACTGGAAATTTAGAATACAGCACAAACTGCAGAACCTACTATTGTGCATTCACTGTAGTATTGTGTAGCTGTTATTGAATGAAAATAAATTTTAAAAACTTATCATGAGGAGTTGCACAGAAGAGGCAGAAAGTAACAAAAATGGGTTAAAGAGACCATAATGGATCAGTCATGCAAAAAAAAAAAAATTAAGCATGAATTAGAGTCAATGTTTTCCCTCCCTGAAAATATTTAACATCTGATCTCCTAGTAAATAACTATAAAAAATAGTTACTACTCAATCAATCCAAAATAGTTTTAAGCTTTTGCCCAAGCAGCTGAAGTAAGTGTTCCATAAGGTAGAAGTATTTTATCTACTATACAGTAAATTACAGTAAAATATAGTAATGCAGTATTAGGATATACTAAATTGATATTTCATTACATTCAACAGACACACACAGCAAGCAGCTACAGAGGCCACACTTGCACATTCACATCCACACAGTACAGCTGAGGTCTATATATGTCCTAGCAGTGGATTACATGCATCATTCCTGGAAGTTGACTGAAAGGGGGCACACAAGACAACAGGGAGCAGCATAAACAGCCATGCACATGAGTTACACCAGCAGAAAGCAGGCAGGCTAGAACAAGAACCACAAGGGCACTTCAGGTTCATCTGGAGAATGCCTTGGTCTCCAGGATGTATCCTGGAATAGCAAAATACATCTACGTAATTGAAATTGACCCCCATGGAGGACAGACTATCAACACATTGTTCTGTATTTTTTAACTTGAGCAAAACAATCAAACTGTAAATTGTGTTGCTTATAAACTCAGTGGGTGAAGTCTCTAGGACCACAGGCAAAAAAAAAAGGTAAAACAAACTATACAGAAAGATATGCAACTTTTGAATATGAAGCCTAAAATTAGGTGTATACTGACAAAATGGACTTTGACCTGATACTTCGAACTATACACCACCAGATATTTAAATATCTTCAGCAATTAATCTAGAAGTACATAAAGTGCAGCACATTTCGTCAGTTTGTACACCATCTCTAGCCAAAAATTACCCCAAAATTCTACTGTATAGATGACAAAATATCATTTATTAACAATAATTAACCAGCTCCTTAGACATAATAAATTTGGTAAATTTTTCAATCCAATAGAAAGTTAGTCTCCCTAATGACTCTGGTTTCCAGTATTACCACAAAATGATATAGATACACACTAACAAAAAATTCACTTTAATATATTCATTATACAGACTGAATATACAACTTTGCATATTAAAATGTCATAGATACGAATGAAATTTCTATTGTTTTAATTTTTTCTTTTCCTCTAGAGTTTGAACGTGCTAGATATAAATTCCCCCACTGTGAAGATTAACAGAGGCAGAATAGAAACCGCAATACAACGAATAAATGAAGCACTGCCTTTTTTTTTTTCCTCATTCTCCCAGATTTCTTTGCTTCATGACCCTGCTAAACTGACGTGTTATTTTCTTCAAGAATCAAGTTAACTATGGAGTTTCTATAGAAACTCATACTATTAAGTACTGCAAACGAAAAAAGTACTTTATGCCGCATGTATACTTGAATTATAGGTGACAGATAATATACTTATCCATGGTATATAGGGACTGGATAATACACCCATCCATGTCAGGTTTTAGTGATATCTAATTAAAAAAAAAATCAATACACTACAAAATATTCAGGAAGCAAATGATGATGCAGAACCCCACTGACACCATTTTCGACAACTCTATTAACCAGATAATTTTAACTCAAAGTTATTTTAGAAAAATGTGTTCTTGATTTCCTGGAATTTCAGATCACAATGAAATTAACATCAAATCAGATAAGATAAATCACAATGATGAATGTTCAAACAATATGACCTGTGCCTGATTTTCAGATGCTGTTCGTTTGAGTAGCCTAATTTGGTCCAGTTCTGAATGCCCCATTGAATTCTCAGTTAGAGATGGCACTGGGTCAGTTATGTTGTATCTTCCAGGCTGATAAACCCCATAATATTCTATTCTCTTTTCCCCTGAGTTCTCCAGTGCCTTTACTTTCTGCTTAAACTGAATAATTTTACAGGTTAAGAACAGGATCACAGCACAAGCCAGAATGAAAAAGGCTAGTAAAATGTCAAAAGCCTGATTCAGCTTTTCAACTTCTTGTGCACAAAGTAAGGACGTTTTTAATGATACAGGAGGAGCATCTGTTGGAAACAGAGCTGCCTCTTCTACAGTTCTGTTTGCAGGTATAGTCTGTGCTGGTATTTGCACCGGCAGTGTTGACAGTGCTGTAGGTGCCTGCGATGGGATGTCAGCAACGTTTTCTCCATAGGGCAAGGGGTTGACAGATGCTGCTGTAGTTTCTTCCCAGAAAGCAACATAGTTAGTTTCTGCACTGAGGAACTGTTCAAAGGCGTTGTGCCTCCTTCCCTTATGCCAGGCCACCAGCAGAGTGGCTGCACTGTGATGGACACCCACAGATCCTGGAGTCCAGGCTGTTTCTGGGCTGGCAGTAGGGCTACTGCAGTTGGCAAACCGACTCCACTTAATGTAATGCAAAGGTCTACCACGCATACTCGGGGGATTCTGACAGTGGATTTTTACAGAAACAGGAGACGATGCTAGCCAAGTAAGTAACCCAAGCATTTTGCAGCTGCAGTTCCAAGGATTATAATTTACCTGTAGCTGAGTTAAAGATGCTAATGGCTTGAACACCTCAGGCTGTAACTCTGTAATGTTATTAAATGCTAAACTGAGTATTTTAAGCGACTGTCCCATTTTTTCAAAGCTACCATCACCAATACTGGTTATTTTATTCCTGTCTAGCTGCAGATACATCAAATTGTTCAATAAAGTAAAAGTGCTGGAATTTATATTTTCTAAATTGTTATAACTTAAGATTAACTGGCTAAGGTTGTTTAATCCAAAAAAACCATTTAGAGCAATACATTTCAGGTTCATGTTTTTTAAAGACAGATACCTAAGCTTGTTAAGTCCTTTAAATGCAAAAGGATGTATTGATCCAATGGGATTGTGAGATAAAGAAAGTCTTTGAAGATTCTTGAGCTTTCCAATAGCATTTGATGGCACAAGTGTTAAGTTGTTACCTTCAAGGAACAAATATGCAAGGTTTTCAAGATCATGAAATGCTAAATCTGATATCCGTGAAATCTTATTATGGGCTAGGTTAAGTGTTTGGAGATTTATCATTCCCAAGAAAGTCCCACTTCCAAGGACACTGAGACGATTTTTTTGAAGTGTTAAATATCTAACAGAAATGAGATCAGTAAATAATCCTCTGGGAACAAAAGCTATTTGATTATTCTGAAGGTATAAACAATGAAGATTGGAAAGACCTTCAAAGACTCCTGGATCCAGGCGTTTAATATTATTGTTATTTAGATGCAAGTAGCAGAGTCTGGGGAGTTCCACAAAAGCTTTTGCGTGTACATATGAAATACTGCAGTTATCCATGTAGAGTGCAGCAAGCTTCTGAAGGCCTCTTAGTTCATGTGGAGTGACATGCGATACATTATTTCCACTGAGGTACACAAGAACTGTCGTTTTTGGAAAGTTCCTCGGGATGCTTGAAAACCCTAAATTACGACAGCTAACTTGCCTCCCTGTGCAAACTTGGCAAGGAGCTGGACAGCCAAAAGCCTCCTTCTGGAGCAGCAACAAAAGAGAACAATTAAGGATATACAGGAGTGCTCCCATGCAGGGTGGAGAACTTTGCAGACCACACATATCCCTGTCTTTGGCCGTCTCACTCATCTCTGACTTCACTAGTAGAGATAAAAAGAAGTTTATAAATATTAATTTGAAAGTTTAAAGTTTCTATATAGACAGTCTTTAAAATACAAGTATTGCTTTCAAGATTGGTATTCTATACATTCTCCTTTCATGTCAAATAAGCAGATAAAACTTATTAAGCATGTCTGAACTACACTGAAAAGATTTTCGAAGTAAATGAACAATGTAACATATGTGTTGCCAAACTAACCAGAAAATACATGCAGCATAAAAGCAACTAATCCGACAGTAACAGCTTCTAGTAAACTCAAAATACTGCTTCTTAACGTTTTTTTCAGTTAAGAAAGACTACAAAATGTTTCCACAGCATTCAAGTAGAAATGCCAACTGGAAACAAGCTTCCTTTCACTGACAACTCATTTGTAATTTAAATTTTACTTTTATAAAGCTGAGTTACATTCAAAATAAATAAAATCAATTCCTTACCCCAAATCTGAAGTTCATTATTTCTGTAATTTTGCCGTTTTCCAGTTCATTGGGCTACATTACAAGCTGCCCAATACTCATCTGTGAAACCTTTGGAAAGGCAGTACTGCCGTGTACTAGAGTGCTCACATTTTGACCCAGGATTTGCAACTGCTCAGTCAGGAAACTAAAAAAATAAGTGGTTAAAGTCAGGTTGCCATGGATACAGGAAACCCTGGGACAGGAAGCCATTTTATCTGTGCTTCAGAAGTATTGTTGGAAAGGAAATCTCAATGATTTGTTTCTAGAAAAGCAAGAACTATCTTACTATGTAACTGTTGTTCTTCTCATTTGTTTAAACTACTGTTTTTGACTAGGAGAGCTCAAAAGAGTTTTATCTAAGTTAGGTATAACTTCCATAATAAAGCATATCTACTCGTAACAGCTCTCTTGCCTTATCTGTAAATCCTTTATCTTTCAGCTGGAATCTGAAACATTTTGTTGAATCAATAGTAAGGCTTAGGCTGTTCTCTCTGTCTGCAGAGACAAACTGCTGCCACCACACACAGACACACACACTCCAGGAGCCCAGCAGAGAGGGAGAATGCAGAGGTCTGGGTGGCAGAGCCCCAGTGCCTCCTGCACTCCAGGAAGGCACATCCTGTGAGGGGATGTGCCCTGGCAGAGAAGCCCAGGAAGTCTTAGAGATTAGAACTGCATGATAAGCTGCAAAACTGCTGTGTATTTGTTGTATTTCAGACTGGATCCAGGCACTTTAGGCCGCTTTTTTCCAAGCCCATTTATCTACAGAGGACTATATATATATTCTGACAGCCACGCCTTTAGTCCACAGCTTTCATTTCCTGCAGTGTCCCTTGTGCAGATAAACACTTGGTGCAAACATGTGCTATAAATATACCCCTTTCTTAACTACCGGAGATTACATCCTCAGTTTACTCATCACAGGGACTAAATACCTGCACAGTTCAGTCACATCAAAGAGGAAAAGGGGAAACAACAAAATGAGATGGTAAATTAGAGATGAAGCCTACAAATAGCAAAGTTAACTATAAAATAACGGTTTACACTGTATCAGGACCTTCTGCTCAGCAAAACAAAGATGACAAAGCCAATCAATAGCTATAGTTAAGGAAGAGACACTACAGTAGGACAATCAAGTCACTTTGGCCACAACACACTCACCCAGGAGGCATGCATTCACATAAGGAGTGAAATACCACCCAAATATCTTTGTCTATAATAATCCAAGCAGAAATGCATGAACCACATAAGGAAAGGAAACACAATAACAACAATATGTTTTTGAAGATGCATTCTTCTTAATTCTGCCAAAAGAAACATTTTTGAAGTTTTCAAAAAAATGTTTTTGACCATATGTAACTGGCTTTTTTATGTTTGAGGTTTGTGAAGCATTCAGAATTAAGATAAACATTGCTTCAATTTTTCAACTAGAGTTAGCCAAAACTACCTGTAGTTGGGATGGAGGGAAAAGTTTTAAAAACAAAAAAAAGGACCAAAATTGACCACCTCCAATTCCACCAGAGTCAACACCTCTTACAACATCTAGTCTAAAGAAAGAAATCAGCAGGACCAGTGGAATTGGTCCATGTGTCACTTTAGACAAAGCCAGTAATTAGTTACGACTCAGAATTTGAACTGCATTCGATTCTTTTTCTTCTGAGAACATTAAACCAATATGAAAACAAGATGTTCTTTAGATTTAACTACTTATTTCACATTCTAATTTTTCACAATATTTAACATACTTGTTTATACATAGGAAAGCAAAATAAAATAGCATGTCACTTCCTTGAAGGGAAAACACTGTAGTTTTGAACAGCTCCCAAGATGATTAGGGAAGTATCCCAGACATGGGCGAGGGAATACTAAGAGTAATTGAAAAAGATTATCCAAGTCAAAGAGTCAGGTGAGTGGGGAAAAAAACAGATCAGCCAAAAGTGAAAAATTATTTCAAACAAGAAAATATGTCCTACTTCATTACCTACAGCCTATTTATGCTGATATTTACTTGAGTAAAGAGATAATTGAAAAGTCTTTCTTCCAAGACATCCTCTATATGTAGCAACCCTATAGGGCTAAAGAGCGATGTTCCAATCTAAAAAAAGGTTTAAAAGATAAAAGTTAATAGCTCTCCCTTCTCACCAAATGCTAGAACTCACATATTTAGGAAGACTGAAGGAACTGCTGAAGTTCTGTTGGCTAACAGCATGGAAACAGCCAGATAAATGAAAGCTGGTGCCCAGTAAGGTATCTTACCAATATTAATAAAAAATCTGCTCTAACTCCAGCTGCCACTGTGGTTCTGAGCATATTAATGACGTCTCTGATTCTCATATCCCACGTAAAAAATGAGGAACACAAATCTTAATCCAGGTCATGGTTCCTTGCACTAGGAAATCTGCAGAAAGTCCTGTCTTGCACTTTGTAAATATAGCACCCAGAGGCCTGCAGATCCAATCAGATTGTAATTTCCAGGTATTGCTTCATTAACAGTACACTCTTTGCAAGTATCTGAAAGCACTATCTATGAAGAACGAGAGGCAAAATAAAATGCCACACGCAGATACTATTTTGGAGAAAACCATAAAAAAGACTGAGATACACATATAACTTGGATGAGCATTTCTCAAAATGGCTTTTTGTTAAACAAAATTCACTACTAGTTGAATACTGTAAGGAAAACACTTAAACAGGAAGACCACACACACTTATTTCAAGCAAGCTTGGGTGGCTCTGATAGTGATATATTTTATTCACTACTAATTTTGTTCTCCAGTGAGAGAAATACCAGGTTTATATCTGAATACAGCTTCACATGGAAAAAGACAAAATGAATTTTGAATCCTGAAAGTGAATTTTATCTTAATATGCTAACATTGATGAAGTTACTAATGTCACTGCTTTTTGACATAGTAAAATCTAATTCAACAATAACTACTTGCCCATACAAGTGTGAAGCATAAGCAAGAGCAATTTGTCAAACTGTGCATAAAATGACAGGTCAGAGTAATTCAAAGAACACACAAGCACTGCCGCCAGTGCAGCCTTTCCAAATCACCTCTATCTTCTCACTGATCCATATTAGATTAACGTCATTATAATTTAGCTTGTAAATATTAGCTAGTGTAAAATATTCATTTAACTCCAATTTATTTATAGCAAAAAAACAAGCAGCAAGTTCAAAAACAGGTTCTAAAGTTACCCAACTTTAAATTGAACGAAATCAAATTTTTGAAGAGGGATTTAATTCTAATACTCACTATAACATCATGTCAAAGCTCACAAAACACATGAAAACCAATTTTTAGCACTGTAATTATTATGAGCTCATAAGAGTGAAACTATCTGTTGACCTACCACTGTGTACTTAGCAAGGAAATTCTCTTGCAGGCCTTCTTACCTTCTACTTTTATTCTGCACAGGTAGACTATGATACAGCGCTTTCTGCCCACATCATTCTCCATGTATGATCACAAGTCAAAGTAATTCAGCTAGTGACCTACAACTTGGGTGGCATTTAATCTCATTACTCAAATCACTCTCATTAAACACAAACATTTAAACTCATTTCACCTGCCTCCCATACAGTAACACCTGCTGTGGACACTTTATTAATGCTAACTTATCAGACCTCAAAATATTTACTTTTCTCATTATCATCTAAGACTATCTCAAAATCGCTTCCTATCTCAAATATTGCAGATTCCTTCTAATGCTTCATATTCCTGCCTAAGTAAAAATCATGAGTGCTGCTTCAGTTACTGAATATTTCTCTGTTCCACAGGGATTATTAAGAGTATTTCCAGACGTACATAGGTACAAGAAGGG